TCACTCTGGGGTGAATGGCACCACAGCATTCAAAATAATTCATTTGGGAGAAGCAACAATGAGGAAGGAGTGGTGAGGGGAACTGGGGAACAGTAGGAGGAATGTTCCAGAAAGAGAAGTCCTAACAGAATGCCATAATCTATAGCTATCACTTACTCCTCCCACCTGCCCTCATCTTTCAGAGAAAGAGGAAAATCATAACTACCTCTGATGCCTGGGAATTCATTCCTCATCAGGTGCTGGACCAAGGGTTTTATAAAGATTAGTTCCTCTAATCTTTGTCGCAGCCCTCTGAAGTAGGTGTCATTATGATCCCTGTCTTGAAAAGAGGAAAGTGAGACAGAGTGAGCAAGCGAGAGGGGGAGAGACAGAGAGAATATGAGAGAGAGAGAGAGAGAAAGATTTACCCGACTCACATAACTGGTAACTGCCAAAGGGTCAAGTTCAGATTCACAGCAAGCCAAGGGAGGGAGCTGGTACCCTGGCTGCTAACCAGCACTAATTTCTACAGGCTTCTCAGGCTTTGCAAAAGATAACAAGGCCAGCGCTCATCTGTCACTCATCTGACATGTGATAAGAAGTCATTTCCATTCTAAGCCAGGTAGGGAGACAGTGGGATTTAGGTTGTAGGTAGATCATCCTAGCAGCAATGTGGAAAACAGATGCCTGGTGTCTCCATTTTCAACAAAATCCACACCTTTTCCCAACCAAGTAACTTTTTTTATGGATAATTTCTTTAAGCTTTTTTTTTAATTGTGGTAAAGTATGCATTAAAAATGCACCATTTTAAAAATGATTTTTCAGTGTACAGATCAGTGGCATTAAGTTTATTCACATTGTTGTGCAACCATCACCCCCATCCATCCTAGAACTTCTTCATTATCCCAAACTAAAACTCTGAACCCATTGAACACTAACTCTTTCCCCACTCTCCCACTCACTGGTAACCACCATTCCACTTTCTGTCTCTACAAATTTGTGGGTTTTTTTTTTTGTCTTTTTGCTTGTTTGTTTGTTTTTCTGTCTATAAATTTGACTACTCTAGGAACCCCATATTAAGAGGAATCATAGACTATGCGATCTTTTATGTCTGGCTTATTTCACTTAGTACCACTTTTTCAAGGTTCATCCATGTGTAGCATGTATCAGAATTTCATTCCTTTCAGAGCTGAGTAATATTCCATCACATAGAGACACCCTATTCTGTTTATTTATTCATCTGTTGGTGGACATTTGGGTTGCTCCCAAACTTCAGCTCTTGTGAGTACTGCAGCTATGATCTTCCACTGCAATGGCCCTGCCTCTTTTTCCCATCCCCACTTCTATGCCTCTGCCCTACGACAGATTCAAACTTCTCAATGTTGTTACTGTAGCTACATCAGCCTCACTGGTGTTGTCTAAAACCATTTCTTTCTCTCTGTCTTTGCAGTATCCAGTCCAGCCAGAAGAAGAGCCAAAAGCTCTCAACACCTCTTGGCCAAGAATGTAAGGAAACTTCAGTTTTGATTTTCTTTGGTTGACTTTCATTTAAAAAGCAATGCCTGGCTTCTTCACTGTCCTTCCCTGGCTCTCAGTGGCCAAGAGAGTTTCAATGTTCCGTGTAGTGGTGGCTGCACTCTCCATTCTCCACTTAACCAAAATAATTAACAAATGTCAACCAGACACCAAGTGACCCTGAGCTGGACCTCTTATTCTGCCATTTTCCCCAGGCACAGAGAGTAAGCCTTGTTTTATACACACATTTTTATTTTGTTTTTTAAACAGAGTCCATGTTGCAGACATAGCATTCCTGATCTAGGTGTTTTCCTATTGTTGGCATTCATAATGTTTCATTTTTTTACTATTATTAGTAGCACAGCAATGAATGTATTTATATGAAATACTATTCTTTTGGATTAATTCCTCAGAGCATAGGTCTCGAAGTAGGATTAAGATGTAAAAGGATATGAACAATTTCATCCATCCATTCATTCATCAAATATTTGCATTCCTACTGCGTAAGGCAAACATTGTGTTACATGTAGAGAATCAGGATTTGTTAAAACTAGTTTTTTTTACAGTTTTGTCACATACTGTCAGGAATTCTGAACAATATGGGGGCTTCCAGTAATGCTTTTCCATTTACCACCGACATCACCAGCACTGGTTTTCCTCTTTTTGTATTATGTTTTGCTGCTTTAACATGCATATGCGTTGCCTTAAAATTAGTTTACTTGTCTTTACAGCCTAATAATGCTGTGCATTTCCCATTTTATATATAAATGTCTTTACATAAAAACTGTCAATACATCTTTGTGCTTTATTTTAAAATCGAAACTGAATTTTTTCTTGGTTGTACTGGAGTTTCTATTTCTATGACAATTTTTCATACGATATCATTTCCATTTTTGAAGTATCTCAATTTTCAAAAACTATTCTCTATTAAAAAATGTTTTGACTGGGCACCAGGCTCACATATGTAATTTCAACACTTTGGGAGGTTGAATTCAGGAGGATAGCTTGAGCTCAGAGATTCAAGACCAGCCTGGGGAACATAATGAGACTCCAACTCTACAAAAAAAAGTAAAAAAAAAAAAAAATAGTCAAAAAATTAGGCAGTGGCTCATGCCTGTAATCCTAGCACTTCAGGTGGCTGAGGCAGGTGGATCACCCAAAGTCAGGAGTTCAAGACCAGCCTGGCCAACATGGCAAAACATCATCTCTACTAAAAATACAAAAATTAGCTGGGCATGCTGGTTTCACACCTGTAATCCCAGCTACTCAAGAGGCTGAAGCAGGAGAATCACTTGAACCTGAGATGTGGAGGTTGTAGTGAGCCAAGATTGTGCTACTGCACTCCAGCCTGGGCAACAGAGCAAGAGTCTGTCTCAAAAGGAAAGAAAAGAAAAAGAAAATTAGCCAGGTGTGGGGCTATGCTCCTGTTGTCCTAGCTACTTGGGAGGCTAAAGTGGGAGCCTGGGAGGTCGAGGCTACAGTGAGCCATGGTCATGCTACTGCACTCCAGCCTGGGCAAAAGAGTGAGACCCTGCCTCAAATTAAAAAAAAAAATTAATGTCCTGTGAATGAGATGAAGTTTTACTAGTTGTTATTTGTATGTAACATGTACATATACTATACATATAAATATATACATGTATATAAATGTATTACCTTTTTAATTCCAAAAGCAGTATATGCTATATAAAATTTTATACATTACAATACAGTAGTCCCCCCTTATCTTCAGGAAATATGTTCCAAAATCTCCAGTGGATGCCTGAAAGCATGGATAGTACTGAACCCTGTATCACTATGTCGTTTAAATCTAGCAAACAAGATGGCTACTAAGTGACTAACAGGTGGGAAATGTACACAGAATGGAGACCCTGGACACTCATGCCCCTAGAGGGGGGACGTGGACTGGTGTGAGACTTCATCACCCTGCTCAGAGTGGTGCAAAATTTAAAACCTATGAAATATTTCTGAAATTTTCCATTTAATATTTTCAGACTCTACTTGACTGAGGGTAACTGAAACCATAGATGAGAGGGGACTACTGTATATTATCAGCAAATCCCGAGAAGCTGCAGAAGAGAGTGGTTAGGTGCATAGACTTCAGAGTCAAATGGCCTGGGTTTAAATCCCAGTTCTATCCATTTCCAGCTATGTGCCCTTGAGCAAGTTGCTTAACCATTGTGGAACTCAGCTTCCTTAGCATTAAAATGAGGATAATAAGATAACATATCTCAAAAACCATGAGAAGGAGCAAATGAGTTTTTTTCTTCTGCAACAAAGCCACATATTTTTTTATTTTTTATTTTTTAGCTAATAATTTAATGCATGTAAAATGTTTAGTCCAGCCTGGGCACAGTGGTTCACGCCTGTAATCCCAGCACTTTGGGAGGCTGAGGCGGGTGGATCACGAGGTCAAGAGATGAAGACCATCCTGGTCAACATAGTGAAATCCCGTCTCTACCAAAAATACGAAAATTAGCTGGGTGTGGTGGCAGGCACCTGTAGTCCCGCCATGGGAGGGACTACATGGGAGGCTGAGGCAGAACAATTGCTTGAACCTGGGAGGCGGAGGTTACAGTGAGTCGAGATTACACCACTGCACTCCAGCCTGGGGACAGAAAGACATTCTCTCTCTCAAAGAAAAAAAAAAAAAGGTTTACTTTAGAGCCTGAAACATAGGCACATTCAATAAGCATTGGGCTTTTTTTTTTTTCTTTTGAGACAGGGTATCCCTCTGTCACCCAGGCTGGAGTGCAGCGGTGTGGTCTCAGCTCACCACATCCTCAACCTCCTGGGCTCAAGTGATCCTCCCTTCCAAGCCTCCCAAGTAGCTGGGACTACAGGCACGAGCCACCACACTCAGCTAATTTTTGCAGTTTTAATAGAGACAGGGTTTCACTGTGTCACCCAGGCTGGTCTCAAACTCTTGGCCTCAAGCAATCCACCTGCCTCAGCCTCCCAAAGCACTGGGATTAGAGGTGTGAGCCACCATGCCCAACCAGGTTTTTTTAAGTAAAAAATTTTCATATTCTATATTATGCCTTATTTTCTGATAATATACTGCTTTGCAATTTGCTTTTTTCTCTTAATAAATCTTAAATATCTTTCTATGCCAATACATCCATATAGTTCTACCTTATTCTTTTTTTTTTTTTTTTAGCCATCGTGCCCAGTTAATTTTAGTAACGGGGGGGGGGGGTTCACCATGTTGGCCAGGATGGTCTCGATCTCTTGACCTCGTGATCTGCCCACCTCGGCCTCCAAAGTGCTGGGATTACAGGTGTGAGCTACTGCACCCGGCCTACTTTATTCTTTTTTTATATTCACAAACATTTTTATATCCTTTTTTTTAGGGGGGGGGTCTTGTCATGTTGCCCAGGCTGGTGTTGAACTCTTGGGCTCTAGCGAAACTTCTATCTCAGTCTCCCAAAGAGCTGAGATTACAGCACAAAATGGGCTGAGCCACCATGCCCAGCCAATTTTGTTCTTTTTTATGGCTGTGTAGCAAAAATATAGAATACTTCATGAATCTACGTGTTTTGCTTGCACAGTGGCCATGCTAATCTTCTCTGTATCATTTGCACCTGGTCTACCTCATTCTTTATAGCAGCTGTATAATACAGCATTGTATGAATGCACTATAATTTTTTTTAACCAAGCCAAACCTGATATTTTCTAGATTCATGATTTAACCAAATTATCAATAAACAGGGTTTTCCCATTTTTTTCTATTAAACAATGCCACAACAAATTCTTGAACATAGTTTCATGTTCTTAAATGATTTTGAGGATAAATTCATAGATATGAAAATGCTAGGCCAAAGGAGATAAACATTAAAATGATTTTATAGCCATTGACAAATTCCTAGCAATTACGTTTTGAAGCACCTGATCCAGAACAGCTGAGCCTATACTGTGTGGCATCAATGTTGTTAGTCTTTGATAATCGGATAGGTAAACATATCCTGTTTAATTTGTACTTCTATAATTATTGATGTGATTCTTCATCTTTTCAGAGATGTATTGGTCATTTCAACATTTTTTCCCTACAGGTTTTTTACTCATGTCTTTTGCCTATATTTCTCTCAGTTTTTTCTTTCTTAAATTTTAGAAAATCTTTTTTCAGCCTTTTTCTTTCTTAAATTTTAGACTCAGGGGGTACATGTGCAGGTTTTTTACATGAGTAGATTGCATGATGGTGAGTTTGGGCTTCTAATGATTGCGTTGCTTAAGTAGTGAACATAATACCCAATAGGTAGTGTTTCCAGCCTTTCCCCCTTTCCTTCCTCCTCCCTTTTGGAGTTCCCAGTGTTTATTAGTCTTATCTTTGTGTCTGTGTGTATCCAATGTTTAGCTCTTACTTAGAAGTGAGAGCATGCAGTATATAGTTTTCTATTTCTGTGATAGTTTGCTTAGGATAATGTCTTCCAGCTGCAACCACATTTTTGTTGTTGTTTGTTTGTTTGAGACAGAGTCTTGCTCTGTCACCCAGGCTGGAGTGAAATGGCATGATCTCAGCTCACTGCAACCTCCACATGGTGGGGTTCAAGTGATTCTCCTGCCTCAGCCCCCGAGTAACTGGGACTACAGGTGCCCACTACCATGACTGGCTAATTTTTCTTTTTCTTTTTTTTTTTTTTTTTGCATTTTTGGTAGAGACAGATTTCACCATGTTGGTCAGGCTGGTCTCAAACTCCTGACCTCAAATGATCCACCTGCCTTGGCCTCCTAAAGTGCCGAGATTACAGGCATGAGTCACCGGGTCCAGCCAGTTTTGTTCTTTTTTATGGCTTTGCAGTAAAAACATGTAATATTTCATGAATTTGCCTGTTATCGTTGCACAGTGGCCATGCCAATTTTCTCTGTAGCATTTCGGTTTTAGTGATGTGTTGCTGAAGTGAGCACTGTATGCCTTTTTCAAGAACCGTTTGTACATTAAGAAAGAGAAGGGGTTTTATGTGCTTGCTTCAGCAGCACATATACTAAGAAAGAGAAGGGGTTTTAAGGGATGGAAAGTTTGATTGTAAGGCAACTGATTCTGATCCTTCTGTTGGTAACTGAAAACTCAATCCCAAAGTCTAGAAGGAAAATGCTCCAACTTTCAAGGAGCAGTGGGTGAGGTGTTCCCAAAAATGGAAAGAGAAGGGATTGTCTGTGGATAATTTGGAGTTTAAGAAAGTTTCGCAGCAGATGTTTCAGTCTTTTGGTGAAGAATCTTGGCTCTTGTCTTCCCATATTCATTCTTCCTCTGGGTGGACAGCGCAGGACTGCTTTCTGGTCTCTTGCACTTTCCTCTGAATTTCTGATTTTCCCCTCACAGGTAGCTTTGCCCAGCCTCTGCTCGTAAAACTCAGCCCTAGCCACACAGACCATTCAAATTAGAAGACAGGAGAGGTCTCTTAGCCCACCTCCTCCTTTTGCAGGTGGGAAAAGTGAGTCCCAGAAAGGAAAGAACTGACCCGTGGCTACCCTTTGAGTCATTTTTTGTCTTCTCCAACTTGGTAATCTGAAAGCAATTGTGATTGGTTATCTTGGTGAGGAAAATAATTCTTATTTTGCAACTGTACCCATATTTACAACTTTCTTCAGACCCAAATTTATATCTCATCTTATCCCTTAGACTACCATGTGGATGGATGTCAGTTTCCATCTACAAATATCTCTTTCCACCCCGAGCGATCCTTAAATGTCAGAGTTTTCCTTTGTCTCTGACTTCTTTTGAATTGTGTTTCTTCCAAATCCAAGGCAAAGCTTCACACTATTCCTTCTCTAGATGGTCTTTCCAGTCCTTAATTTTTTAATTCTTAGGCAATTTTATTGATATTTTGATCATCATGATACCCACATTAATAGGAGTAGCTCAAGGGGATAAACTTACACAAAGGTGTGGGTCAGTTAAGTCCTTTGGCATGGAGCCACAACAATGGACATTCATGGTCCCTTCAGAATAAGCAGGCAGTCAGCCATCAGAAAAGATGGATAAATGAGATTGCAAAGGTCACATTCTTCCCACTTTTTAAGCTTGTGAGGAAGAATATATGTGGGGTTCTCCTGATTTTTTGAAATGCACAGAGCACCAGGCATGGTGGCTCACACCTGTAATCCCAGCACTTTGGGAGGCCAAGGCAGATGGATCACCTGAGGTTAGGAGTTCGAGACCAGCCTGGCCAACACGGCAAAACCCCGTCTCTACTAAAAACACAAAAATTAGCCAGGCGTGGTGGTGGGCACCTGTAGTCACAACTACTTGGAAAGGTGAGGCAGGAGAATTGCTTGAACCTGGGAGGCAGAGGTTGCGGTGAGCCATGATCACACCACTGCACTCCAGTCCAGGTGACAGAGTGAGACTTCATCTCAAAAAAAAAAAAAAAAAAAAAGGAAAGAAATGCACAGAGCAACCAATTGCACTTGAAAATTCCTATTTAGATGTAGGCACTTCTTTTTTTTTAGACAGGGTCTCACTCTGTTGTCCAGGCTGGAATGCAGTAGCATGATCAAAGCTCACAATAGCCCCGACCTCCTGGGCTCAGGCCATCCTCCCACTGCAGCCTCCCAAGTAGTTGGGACTACAGGTACATGGCATCATATCCAGCTAATTTTTTTTTTTTTTTTTTTTTTTTTTTTTTTTTTTTTTTTTTTTTTTTTTTGGTAGAGATAGGATTTTGCCACGTTGCCCAGGCTGGAACTCCTAGGCTCGAGCAATCCACCACCTCATCCTCCAAAGTGCTGGGATTACAGGTGTGAGCCACTGTGCCCAGCCTGAATGTAGGTACTTCTATGGGTTTACAAAGAGCACCCACTTAGCAGGCATGAAATCATGGTTCTCATCCCGGCTCTGTCCCTTACAATTCTGTGGCCTTGAGTAAGACACATGGCCTCTTTTGGCCTCAGTTTCCCTGTGTATAAAATTAGGCTAGAATTGGGCTAGAGCATTTCTGTGGAACCCCTCAGCCCCAAAGCATTACGATTCTCTACTGTCTCGGTCTTCTTGACTGTCTTTCCAACTGTCTATCAACAATCTAGGTGACAAATAAGCAGAAGTGTGAATCAAAGATGTCACCAGATGGGATCCTGAGGCTTTTGTGTTAGCCCGTGTCTTCTGCTTCTCCTACTTCCGACCTCTCTAAGCCAGCAAGCGAGTATTACCTTATTGTGGTAATGCTTGTTACTCTAGTACATTCTTCGACTTCAGCTGGGAGTTTGCTGAGCTAGGAAAGGAAAATTCCAGCATTAAACTCCTCTCTCCTCCCTGCTCATTAACATCCCACGTCGCCATCCAGATTCTCTCATCTTGCCCCTATACTCAGGGTGCTAAAGAGCCTCCTCTCAGACCAGTGTGTTCTAAGACCACCAGCAGCAAGCGCAGACCGTGTGCTGTAGACCAGAAAATAAACCAGGCTGTCAGGAGCCTCTCAGGAGGCCACATCCATCCATTCAGCTCTCTGTTCCCTGGGACAGGCCAATCACACTGAGCTGCAGCCATCTCAGAACCTCCGTTATTGTGGAGAATGAGAACCAAGTATCAGGCCCAGCTAAGAAACAGGAAGACTCAGAGCTGGGCCCTTCTCCTCTTTCCTTTCCTGCTATTGACATCCTTTGGTGGGCTGGAGAAAAAGAGGCATTGTCCCCAGTTGCGACCTGGGAAATAACTGGCCTCCTCTCCACCCCCAGGAAACCTCCTACATCCATCTGGCTGCTGGGCTGAGCAGCTAATGCCACTCCACTCTCTCCCTCCCCATTCTCCCACCCCACTGTGCAGAGAAGAGATGGGGAGGTGGTGGTTCTTGTTCCTGAAAGGGAACATTTGTCTCCCTTTCAGAGGAGGAAATGTTGGAAGGCAGCAGCGGTCTTCCTGTGGACTCCAGGCTTCACATCCTGCCTTACTTTCTCCTTCTACAAAGTGGGTCTGAAAACTCCATAGCAGCCCTCACTCCTCCTCTGAGAGCGATGCTGAGAGAATGAAAATAAAATCAGGAACAGCTGTGTTGAAAGGGCTGCGCACCCTCTACCGCAGAATGAATGACCCAGTGTCCTGGCTATGTATAAATATGCAGGATTGGAGCCCAAACCACCAAGATTCCCCTTCATGACTCTCCATAGTAAGATAAAATGATTCTTTGTCTCGAGTTTTGCCACAAATTATCTCAATGATTTAAGTATTTTTACTACAATTTTTTTGTACAAGACCAATTCAAACACCAGAAATTACCATTTTTAAGGTCCATTTTGGTGAACTGTAATGGAGTAACTTTCCAATATAACTACTCAGCAGGTGGTGATGACTGAAAACATTTCAGCATTGGGCCCTTTGTTCTGGCTTATCAAGATTTCCGTGCACAGAACCACAAACAGTGGAAATTCGTCTCCCAGCTCCACCCTGACCCAGGCACTCTGCACTGGGAATTGGGGGGATGGGGAGAAGAGCATCCCGTTCCCCCTGCTCCACTCTGCAAGCAGCTTCTTTCTTTTCAAAAATCTGAGACTCCGTTGAGCCTAAGCCCTATCCCTAGGTCTTCGCGTTGCCAGAGCACCCCGAAAGCTGTCCTCTGCATGAACAAGGGTGTTGTCCACTCAGCTACAAAGACTGCAAGACCTCCATTTCCAGAACTG